TAATAATACCCAATTGTTTGTTTAATGATGTTTTCAAAGTAACTATCTGTTATAAGTCCGCCAAAAACCCTAGAAAACGCAACGGGGGGACCAATAAAAATCTGTGCGATAATTGGTTGATGATTTTATCAATTTAGCAAAAGATTGGTATCTATATGTTGATAGAGGAGTTATCGAAATATGTATCGACTTTTTCCTTTGTCGACATTTTCATCGGCATATCTGACGAAGTTTTTGTGTTTTATCCCACCGATAAATTTGTAGGCATCGCTATCGATTTTGTTATCGATGTTAGTCTGTATTTGTATTATAATCAATATTGATAATAAATATAGAATAAGTGATAAATAGATTAAACAATTTATGTTATCGAAATATTTTTCGACTTGTCTTAGTAATAATTGAACTTAGATACTACAGTCTTCTCCGAATAATCAACGCCGCCATTTAGGCTTCCCCTCTAACTTTAAACAAAAACTCCGTCTAAATAGAAGGAACTTTTCAGGTGAGCGAGTCCTTTTTAATTGGTTTCTCCGCATAATTAAGTAAACATATTTACAGTTATTATGCCCAATTAAGCTGAGAATACTGTGATCGAGTTAGACTTGCAAAGCAATATTTCCTTTTCGAAGGAATTCCATTAACAAAAAAAAATTAAGAATTCGAACAGTTTTTAAAGTCAGTGAAAAAAAATGCCCAATCAATAACACAGTTTAACCACACAACCAAAATTTTGAAATCATTTTGTATAAAAAAACAAATTTGCGCTATTAGCCACTTAAAATGACTCACCTGTGTCGGCTTTCAAGAAATCCGCTTCTAAATTGCCAAATTTCAGAAGAAGAAAAATTGCAAAGAATTTCTATTAAAAAACGCTAAAAAAAACCAATGAACAATATGCAAGAAAAATGTCGAACATGAGCTGCAAGAGAAATGAAATGTTCTGTTAGATTTAGTGTCAACTACTGAACCAGGAAGCGAAAGCAGCTAAAAACATGGAAGCCAAAAGAAACAGACACAACAGAAATGAAGCAAAAACCCCGGCTTAGGCGTCATCAACTGAGTTCGAGTGACAACTACTATTACAGAATTTTAATTAGAGCCAAAAAGGTTACAATTTTTATAAACAAGGAAATTGAAGAATTAAAAAGAAAAAAAACGGAAATGGAGGAAAAGGTGAAAAAATGCAAAATTGTCACGACCATGAAATATTTATTTAAAAAAAAAAGTAAATACATGTGGAGGTACATACATACATACGTATGTATGTTGATTAGGGTGGTATGTAGGTACATTAGGACCAACCAATTTGTATAGGAAATTTTTTGTAACACTTTGCTGCAGTGTCGCAAAGAACTGCTTAAATTTTGTATAAAAACATGCTATAAGGTGTATTTGGTATAAAGAATTCATTTTTACATTATATTTTTCTTAAACATCCAAAGCAGGGCGTAACAGTGAGAATTTTCACATTTTCTTTGGAATATATTTTCGCAATTTGGCAAACTTCAAATTGATTTTAGACCCATGGTTTCTTCGGCATATTTTCTTAGAATTACATACATAGTAAAAAAAATTTACCCGCCCTAATGTATCTCCATACATAAGTTTATATATATGTATATATGTATGTATGCTTGGATGTATGTTTATATGAAATTATGTACAATTTTGAATAAAAAAAAATTGTAAACTCCGTTGATAAAAACCAGTAAATAGGAGAGCGATGGCTGCGTTGCGATAGAAAGTTCAACGGAAGCATGATTTGAGTTTTTAAACACTTTTTGAGCATATATATTTACATATGTATGTAAGTGCGCTACTATATAAATATATATACATATGTACATATATAGGAGTATTTCATATGAGTATGCAAGTAAGTGTTAACATTTATGTATGTCACGTGATTTGCCTAACATCAGCATTTTTTGGGGAAATTTGATTTGTGGCTTGGAAAACTACAAAAGCGAGGTTCAACTCTATGATCTTGCTGATATGAAAACGCGATAACAAAAGGGCAAACGCACCACCACACATGCATTCATGCATATGCGCGCCGACACCGGATGACTGTCACTTTTTCCAGTAAACTATTTAACAGCCTATCCAGCGTGCGATTCAAGTGCCACTGAATATATACATATGTATGTATGTATGTATATACAATTGCGTATGAATATGTATTTAGGTTCTATGTATGCATACTAGACTGTGTTAAATAAAACGATTTTTTTTTTCTTTCGGTCACATATGAGAATCTCATTGTCGCTCACAAAATCTTAATTTTTCAGTTATCACTAGCAAAGATAAGAATTTTTGATGGAAAAAAAAAATTGTGCCCTACTTTTTTTTAACCCTGTTTGATAACCCTACTTGCTGAGAAGACGTATCATGGTTTGCTTGCTTTAATTTTATGGTAATAAAAATTTTATGAAAGTTTTTTTTCAAATATATAGAGTCTTCAAATATGTATTTATTATTTAAATGCGTTTTATTTAGAAATAACCTTCATTTAAAATCGAAATATCACCGATTTCAATACATACTCATTTTCCGAAAGAGAGAACGAAAAGTTTAATAAAAGCAAACGTCTCGCAGACATATGTACATACATAGGTTATCAAAGCAAGGTTAATAAGCAAATAAATATAAAAAAAAAAAACTAAAAAATCACGTAACCTATTCAATTTTAATACATATAATAAGTGCAAGTTTGAATTAGCTAGGACTCACCGATGATTTTTAGCAATTTTTTTTTAGGGTCTCGTCATTTTGTTTAGCAGGAAATGACTGCTTATGTAATTCAAACTTGCATTAATTATATATAATAGAATTGACTACACGATTGTTTTTCCTTTTTTTGTATTAAATTGCTTACTAAAAAAAAAGTTGCGAAAAAAAAATAATTTTCATTGAAAATTCTTATTTTTGCGAGCGCTAACCAAAAAATTAAGATAGGAATCTGACAACGAAATTTTCATATGGGAACAAAAGAAAAAAAAACATTCGTTTTATTTGACACAGTCTATTGCACATATGTATGTACATAAATACATATCTACGAACTCATTTATGTACTGTCACACTACCCGGCGTGCCAATGACCTCAACACTCCATTAGGTTTTGTAAAACCATTTCGCTTTGTGCAACAACTCAATTTTGAATGGTATTAATCATTTCGTTTCATTTTTTTTCGTCATTTGTCTACACACTTTCCACATTCACACTCTCTTTTGCGCTACACGCTGCCCGCATATGCTTACTATGCAGCTCAGATTGGGATCCAAATGTATGTATGTAAGTACGTACGTACGTATGTATGTATGTAGGTACAACATTTTCGACACCCGCACTCAGCTGACGAATTTTTAATTTCGTTCAATTAAACATTTAGTTTAAGAGCAAAGTACAGTTTTTTTATTATTTTTTTTTTGGGCTTGTTTGTGTAAACTGTCACGTAAAATGCTCAATGAAAGCAATTATGTGTACTTTTCCCGCTCAATTCTAACAGCAATGTGCGATCATATCGAGCCCTAACTGTCAAAATAACGTAAGCGACTTTTTTTTCAAAATTTTCTTTTTGATGCAGTAATGCATTTAGACTCTCCAGGAATATTTCTACATCAAAAAGGAAAAAAAAAAAAAAAATCGGCGGTTACGGCTCCAAATATAACTACTGTATTCCTTTTTTATCTGCAGAGCGAATCTTTTTGGATAATTTTCAGACCGGGTATCGGATCAGAGTTCAATCGAAGTCAGAACACATTGCCGACCTCCCACGACATTGATTTGAAAAAAAAGTCTTCTTTCATGCTTATTTTCTGAAATCTAGGATGGTACCCCAAGGCTCTGTAGAGCTTTTGCGGAATCAGTACTTGCAGAAAATAATTCACTGTCTACCATTAGCAGAACGCGAGTAGAAATTAGAAAAGCCTCCTGTGAAAACCTGTGTTTTCTTGCCACATATCCTCCTCGGCCAACTCCAAACCATAAAATAAGATGCAGGTAAAGCGGTCGTTGTTTCCGAAAGCTGAATCGGGAGACATTGGCAGATCAAATTTCTGGTGTGAAACCTTCGACCGGCGGATTGGTTTTTATGTGAAGCTTTTAATTGATAGACCACATTCAAATTAATATTGTTTGCTACTTATGTTTATTTGTTTAAAAGCGAAAAGAATTTTTTTCAGAATTTACGTACTACTTTTTTTTAATATTCAAAAAAAAAATTAATGAAAAACAAAAAAATTTACCATACATTTGTGAAGAAGCTACCATCGAAATTGTATATTTAGCTCTTAAAATCACTGTATATAATTCAAACTGTTTTTTTTGGCTATGGTCCTGAAAGGGTTAATGCGCCAATATCCGTTTTACACTAAGATAGCAACACAGATATGCAGAAAAGTATTTTTATTTAAAGGATTTTAAATATGTACCTCATCTAAACTAGCTACTGTTGTTAAGTAATTTTTTTTTTTAACAAATTTTTATCAAAAACGTAAGCTTATTTAGCTCAAAAAATAAATCAAACAGTGTTTGTTAGCTATAATTTTATGGTCCCGAATGGGTTAAGGTACCAATATTCGGTTTACACTAAGAAAGCATAGCATCGCATCTAGCAAACACGCTGCCGCCGAACATTTTGAAATCAAACTGAAGCAAACACATCAAAATTTTAATCCATTGTATTTCCTAAAATTTTCCTAATCTGTTTTAATTTCAAAAACCACTTTACAAACGAAATTAGGTACTTTCGAATTGAACCAAATGAAACAAAAACAAACGCGGCAAAACATACGCACCCATTTTTTTTTTTTTGTTTTTTGCTAAACTAAAAATAGTTTTTAAGAAAACATGCACTAATCAATCATGACAGAGTGTCACGTCTTGATAGAAAAAATCTCGAAAGAAATAACAGAAAACGTCAAATGTAAAAAAGTAAAGAGAAAAAACTCTTTAAGAAAAATCACTTTTGTATTTTCAACAAAACACTTACCCAGAAACCGGCGCGTACGTACGTGCTCCGTATGTTTATTTAAACAAATAGCCAAGCCTTGCCGCGCCACACCACACCATACCACGCACTCGCCTCTGCCTTTCTTTGCCCCTAGACGGGCGGCACAGCGCTCCTTAACTGATCACCGCCCGGCGCACATGTGTGTTTACTCGCTTTAGCGAGCGATAGGCTGAATGAATGCAAAAGTGTTGTTGGCGTTATTGTAAACATTCATACATTTGACGCGATCATTGTTGGTTGGTTGGTTCGCATAGCTACTGTCGTTGTTGTTGTTGTTGTTGCTTTAGTTGTTGTTGCTTTAGTTGTTCTTGCTTTAGTTGTTGTTGCTTTAGTTGTTGTTTCTCGTCTTGTTATTCTGAGTGTTCACGACTTATCAGCACCTGACCTTTCAACACTATTCAGCAACAACAGTCGCCACTAGCGTGTTGTTTTTGGTTTGCTCTTTTTTTTAATGTTCTTTAATTTTTCCTCGTTTCATGATGAGGCAGATTGCTGGCTTTTATAAATATTTACATTGTTGGCACACAACGAATAGCTGGTACGTTGGAGCTGTTAGCTAGTGGCTGGCGTGAGGAGGAGCGCCACTGATCCGTCTGGGCTGAAGTTTCAAGAACAACTGACGTTTCGAGGCATAAAAAGTCGGCATATAAATTGTCGACTGTGGAAATGTACATAAAAAATGTATGTATGTATGTATGTATGTACATAAGTAAATATGTACAAAAATGTATGGGGTACATAAAGTCTGCTTATCGGTTGACTGACAAACTATATGCTTGCATTCATACAGATATTTGTTATACATGTGCCTATATACATACATATGTACGTACAATTGCATTGCATTTATGCATTTTTATACTTAGCTCTAGCGCGAGAAATGCTATGTGTTAAATATGTATGCAAATATGTATGTAGTTAAAAACATATCAACGAAAAGATTCCAGTTCAGATTTCAGCAGATCTTGCACTGGAAAAGCTAATATTTGTACGCTGATCGTTTTAAGTGAGTGCGAAAAAGAAAATGAGAATGAGTACACAAGCCGATGTGCACATTGTGTGTACCCTGCAGCGAAAAGCTGAATCAGTATGCACAAATTCCAGTTCATGAACTATTACACAGGTCCGCAAAAAAAAAATCGATGAAAGGTTCCTATGACCAAACCTAGCCTGTTATATGTTTTTGGGGTCGCTGAACACGAATCTGAAGTCCGTTTTATTCCATCAGGTCTGGATTTTTTCTAACCTCAAAAAACCTCTGACAGAGGAAATCCGCTTGGAGGTTGTTAAAGTAAAGTAAGTAAATTAATTTAAATAATTATAATTATTTCAATTTAAATATAAAATAAAAATTGTACATAAATTGAATTTCATTTGAAAAAACCTAAATACCCAAATACCATAAAAAAATAGAAAAAAAATATTTTTTTGTTCTTTTTAAAACAATTAATTTAAAAATAACAAGAAGAGATAAAAAAAAAAATAAAAAAAAAATGAAAAAAAAAATCGAACTCGGGTCTCTTGATTTGGCGTGCCAAAGCTTTACTCTGTCGACCATTGCCACTGTTGCAGCGCTACAGCATAGTTATGCTTTTCACGGGGGATGAATAGGCAGTCTATCCCGTCAACTGGCATCTCCTATGAAACCACCACGTTTAAAATACCAGTCGCTAACATTGAAAAAGGATACAACGTAAACTAGTTGGGCTGAAACGCAAACTGGCAGCATTCTGGTAGCTTTCCCTGCAGGGTATGTATGAATGTAAGTGCAAATACATATGTATGAACACACATAAGTACATTCATTTAACCACAAGTCGTTATGAAAATCTGAAATGCATACACATACATATTCGCATGCATCGGCTTCAGCTTCAACGTTAATAATACTAACGCACGTACCATATTTAGAAACTTGATTATCAATAGATATGTACGTACATATACCTATGTACATTAGGCTGCATCACCAAGCAAAGATTCGGTTTATCCACCGTAATTTCAAAACTTATTTTATTTGAAGACTTCCACCATAGAATTTCGGAAAAATATTAAGATTTACGTGAGCTGTTGCCATTTGAAATACCTTGAAAAAAAATCATTCAGATGACAAAACAGTTTAAGCTTAAAAAATCTGCATATAAATACAAAAAAAAATAATAAATAAAAGCGTGAGAAAATACCTTTCCAATGATAACTCATGAGTCTATTTAAGACGGTATAGTTTTGACCCAGTTACTCAAGTTTTTCTTAAACCAATATTTGAAAAAAGGAAAAAAATAGCATTAAAAATCTCATTATTTTGATTTCGTTGAAAATTGAAATTTCGAAAATATTTCTACGCAAGTTGTTTAAGATTAAACTTGTATGTCATTTGAGGTGCTCTTTTTTTAAATCTTAAAAAGAAAAACTATTTTTTTCATAAACTCAATTTTTAAAGGTATTTTGAAATCGATGCAGCTCACGTAAATCTTAATACATTTCCGAAATATTTTGGTGCGGGTCCTAAAATATAATATATTTTATAATTCCAGTGCAAAAACAGTACACATTTTTTTTTGTATGGGGAGTGATGCAGTCTAATATGCATACTAGGAATGTTAATCCCGGGATCCCAGCCTTTTTAGGTCCCGAAAATCCCGGGACTCTAGGCAAATAATCCCGGGATTTTCAAGATTTGTAATTTGCACTGATATCAATAATAGAAACTCCTTTTCTTGACCAGTATTATCTATATTTATTTTTTTATTTAATAATGAATATTTTTTCATAAATGTCTAGCTCATTATAAATATAACACCGTGCGGTAGTAAATTTTACACCCAAAAATCAATATATTCGTGAAGCCATCTGTCAAATATTGTAAAATTGCGTTTATAGTTTCTCACCCTGACGTAAGTAATTCCAAAATGATTTGAAAAATTCAATAAAATTTGCTTATAGAAGAAGTATGGGTATCAAGTTCAAGAAGAAATCCTCTAGAATTAAATCAGATTAAATTTTTTTTTATGCATATGGACTGGTAAGTATTGAAAATGTCCTTTTAAACATTTTTCCTTGAAATTTCGCAATATTTAATTTTGAAAGATTCATAAGTTAAGGACTCATATAAACTCGATAACATTCTCCAATTTCATCCTTCTAACTTTATCAGCTTAAAAAACTTGTCCTTGTGAGTACAAAATATTTTAATTTTTTTAGTTCTAAAGAAAGTTCGTTCTTTTTTTTTGGTACCGATATTTTTATTCTACAATGCATTGAATTTTTTTAATAATTTTTGGAATTAATCATATCTTCGAAATTACAAAGTCCTTTAAATAAATCCTGACGTCAGAGAGAAAAAATAAAAACGTCTCTTTAAATAAAAAAATAGGTTTCAAACCCATTTCTTTATTATTTATTTTATGGTAGGAAGAGTCAGCTGGGGTCGTTGGATCAAATCCCACTGAAAGAAGTCTGATGAGGAAATGTGGTGATTTCCGAAATAGCTATCACTTCTACCATTTTTTCAAATTATTGTTGCTTTTCCACAATCAATTTTCATTAAAAACGGCCTCAAGCTCAATAAAAATTGTGGAATATAGTTGTTATGACGCCATAAATAACAAAAACAAAGTAGGAGAGCTTCTCAAACAATTTAGGAGCAATTTTTCCGATTTAAGTTGTTGAAAAATAATGACTATCTAAATCCCGAAACTAATCCTGGGATCCCGGACAAACGGAAAATCCCCATATCGTAGAGAGCCAAAAAATTAGCATCCCTAGTAAATACATATGTATATATGTACATTAGCTGAGGCACATGCATTGTAAAAAATCCTCCTCCCAAGCAAATTACAAAAATACAAGATTTGGTGACTTTACCGAAAGATTAAACCTAAATTGGAAGTCATGATTAATCTTGGACCACCTTATATCTATATAACTGATTTACAAAAAAAACTATAATTTTACTAAAAGTTTAAAAGAAAACAAAATTACTTTAACAGCAAAATATCATAATATTGCGGTTGAAAAGTCGACCCTTTAAATTTACATAATAATTTTAATCTATAGTCTTATGGTCCTGAAAGGCGTGTATTTAATTTTTACTTGAGTTACCGAGACCTCGCTCGTTGAAAAACTATTTTCGTCGCAAAAAAAAACTTCGATCGATAGATATTTTCTTACTTATGACTCAAGATCTCGAAAGGGTTAATCCTGTTCTCTTAAAAAATCAAATAGCTTAGCCGGTTTCTAATTGAATTTCGATATCCAAAGTAATTTTGAAAAGTACCACCACCAATTCCCCTAAAAAATTTACATTTTTTTTAATATATTAAATTTTTTTTAACAAAAAATGTTTTAAAAAATTTCGGTGAACATCGAATAATTTCTATCATAGAGTTGGGTACAATCGTTGACCATCTTTATTATAAATTAAAATAAAAACATAATTTTACCAAAATTTAAAAAAAAAATATTTTGATAAATATCAAAGAATTTGTTTTGTCCTTAATGGCTCAAAATCTAGAATTCAAGCCAGAGTTTATTTTCCTTAAAACCTTAAGGCCGCAAAAGGGTTAATACCGTTCCGGTTGAAGCTTTCGAAGACACCATTTAAAGCTATTTTCTTCCAACAGTTATTTATAGTAAGAATTTCATGGAAATTTTTGGTGTGTTAAAAATCGTTTTAATCTCTTTTAATTTCATCATTTTTAAACACTACACAAATACATATACAAACGTTTTTTACGACAAATTTACAAAACCCCAAAAATAACAACGCCCCTAATGCAAAACTATGCCAAAGGTTTTAATGTGTAGGTTTTTTACGTAATTCAATGTACATATGTACATATATGCAAAAAAGCTTATGTATATATATAATATGTATATACAAAGTACATACATACATTTGTTCGTACCTTGCGGGAAATGTATCTAGCTTTGAGTTAACTTGAAGTTGATTAAGAAGGAACTAAATGTCACTTTTATACGTATATTTTCTTTTTCTATTTATTTCAATGGCGAAGGTCGCGAAATGTCAAGGGTGGGCACCTCTGCATTTGATGTCAACTAACTTGTAACTAACTAGTTTTGGACTTAGAATTATCAATAAGAAAAACAAAATATTTTTTGTTTGTTTTTTTTACTTTTTCATTTATTTACTTTATTTTATTACATTTCATATTTGTTTACATATTCTGCTGTAAGCGGTCCCACATTCGAACTCCGTTAGACATAACTTTAAAATGATAATATAAAATTTCGATTTTCCTTTTATTTGTTCTCAATTCGAACCAGTATTTGTGAAGTGCAGAAAGAAAATGTATTCAAAGTAAACTTAGATAGAAACTTGTTTAAAGAAAACAATCTCCCGATTACGTCTGCATTACTCCTGCATTACTTTTCAACTAGTTTCAAGTTATTTATGTACATTATATGTATATGTACATATCTTATAGAAATAACGCAGTAAAGCGAGTTGGTTAATTTTATCAATTTATATATTTTTTTTCCTGCAGGGTACATACATATCGTCGTTAAAGTACAAAACCGCGTATCGTCGTTCTGCAAAACCGCGCAACTTGATATTTTTTGCCAAAAACTGGATTTTCTTACCGAAGCTCTTGGCTCAAGCCTATTCTTTGGAATTTTCTTGATACGCGGTTTTGTACTTTAAACGACGATATGTATGTACTTATGT